GGGGGGGGGGGAGAATAAGAGCCGTAGCCCCTAGGCTTCTATGCCACTTCCCAGCCCCCTCCAAGCGGTTGGCAGAGTCCGCCTGTTGCCCCCAACAATTTTGGGTCCTCATTTGACAAACCTCGGAAGGGCGGAAGGCTGAGTCGACCTGGAGCCGGTCAGGGTCGAACTGCTGGCTGTGGGGATGCAGAGTTCGCCTGCGACCTTGAACCCTGAGCCACCAGGGCCCTTTCCCTGACACCTTTCAGGGAGGGAACCAGGGCCTCTTTCCTGGTAGGGCGCCCTCCTTGTCGGAACCGCTGCTGAGGCCTGCCTGGGGAGGGGGTCTTCCGGAGGGAGCTGCCGGCGCTTGAATAGCTCAGCGGGGGACGGGGGGGGGAGCCGCAGCCTCAGCCGGAGGACCGAGGAGGGCTTAGCCCAAGAGAGGAACCCGGAGGGAGGTTTGGGGCCCTGCAGCTGCAGGAACCTTTGGCCGTTTCCTTCCCTGGGATTTTAGCCCTTGAACCCTGAGGCCTTTCTGACTTCGCTTGTCGGAAGGTCGCAAAAGGGGACCTGGGGACGCAGCAACGGCCCTAAGTACGAGTCAGTTGCCAAGCCTCTCAATTTTGATCACGTGGCCGTGGGGGTTCTGCAACAGCCCAGAGGGGGGAAACATCGGAGTCCCTTTTTTCAGTGCCGTTGGAACTTAGAACAGTCACTAAGTGAACTCTCGTAAGTCGAGGACTGCCTCTATTTGACTGAAACAGTCCCTCCCCTCCCCAGATTTGGCTAAATCCGGCCTTTCCCAGCCGCTCCAGGTTTGGATCCTGTGAGATGCCCCTGTGGGGGGCTTGCCGGCTCTTTTCTCCTGCCCCCCCCCCCCCCCCCCCCCCGGGGGGGGTCCCCCGGGGGGCCCCGGGGGGGGGGGGGGGGGGGCTTTTCTCCCCCCCCCCCCCCCCCCCTTGAGCAGAGAGATGCACCCGGGGAATGCGGGGGAGGGGCTAGGGAGGGCGCCCCTTCCCCAACCCTTCTTCACGGGGGCCGGTCCCAAAGGTGCTTTTTGCAAAGGGCAACTGGGCTTTCTGGTTTCTGATTTTCTCTGAAAAAGTTTCCCTTCCCACCCAAGAGGCTTCTTCGGTTCTGACTGCCTGGCAGGGAGTAGAAGCAGCCAGTTCCGTTTTTCGGTCGGTCAGAATTGAAGAAGCTTCTTGGATGAGAAGTGAAACGTTTTCAAAGGGGGAAAAAAAAAAGCACAAAAGCCCAGTTGCCTTTTGGGGAAACCACCTGTGGGACGACCGTGACCGAATCGTAGATCTTTTGCCAAGCCATTCGAAGTAGCCCTGGGGAATTCTAGGGACCCCCCCTCCCCCCCAAGGATGGAGGGGGCTGAAGAAGGCCTGGGGGAGGCGCCTCCTCCCAGCTCTGGAGTTGGGCGGGGGACACCCAGGCAGCAGCTGGCAGGCCAGGCCGAGGGGCTTCCCTGGTCCCCCCAGGAGATTCGGCCTTCTCGGGGCCTTCAGCCCCTGCCCAGGGAGCCTCTCTCAGGCCAGCCTTTGCCTCCCTTCAGGAGGGTCCCGGGGAGTGGTCCACCCTGGAGGCGGAGGTCCTGATGAACGGCCAGGAGGTCTGCGGCACCAAAAACCCAACACCGCACAAGATTTTGCTGGACACCCGGTTCGAGCTGCCGTTCGGTGAGTGCGCCCCTGGGTTGGGGGGGGGCGTTTAGCGGCAGGTTCCTTGCTGGGACTCCATTCCAGTGGGAGAGCCTTGACGGACAGCTGTCAGCAGGGGCTTCACAGCCCCTGCAGATCCTTTCCTTCGGCTGCATCCCAGCCCCTCGGCCAAGGCCCCAGGAGAGCGGGGAGGTTTCCCTTTCCCAAAGGCTGAAGGAAGGAGGGGCGTCGGCCCCCCCCCCCCCCCCCGCTCTGGTCCTAACTGTGTGTGTGTGTGTGTGTGTGTATGGGGGGGGGGGGTTGGTTGAAGAAAATAAAAGGGGTGGGGACTTCGGGAGGACAGAACTAACTCACCCGGAGGTTTAAAGGTCTATGGAGAGCCACCTCAGTCACCCAGGCCAGAGCGCCAAGGACCAGGTGACAATAAAGACTCTAAATCTTCCCTCTGCCCACCAGTCAGTTAGAAGGGAAGAAGCTTCGTGGGTGAGAAGTGAAACCTCATCAAAGAAAAAACAATCAAAGTCCAGTTGCCTTTTGGAAAAAAAAGTGAAGTTCAGAAAATTAGGGAATAAAACACTGAATCATAATCACACACACACACACACACACACACACACGAGGCTTCAGGAGAGCCACTTTCAGCAAATTTAGCCGGATCCCACGGGCAAAAATGCTGCAGGTGAAGGATGGAAGGGACAGCCGGAAACTTCTCAAGAATAAGATGCCGGAAATCCTCCCCCCCCCTGGGAAGAAAGGGGGGGCCTAGGAAATGTGGGTGAAACACGCCCAAGAATGGAAGGTGGGTGGGGTGAAACGAGGAGGTGCCGCAGCAAATGGGAAATATTTGGAGGAAGAAGAAGCGAGCAGGTGCTCCCGAGGGAAGATAAAAGCAAGGGGGAAAAGGAGTCCCGGCCCAAAAAAGTCTATTTATCTGGTTATACTTCTTAACTTGTATCGTGCAAAGGTTTTGTCATATTTTATCTTGTAACGTAAAGCCCCCCCCAGAGTTACCTTGTGGTTAAGATGGGAGGTTAATGAAAGGGAGGGAGGGGATCTGCTGCAAGGAGGAAGGAGGAGAGGGCCAAGCGCAGGGCGTCTCCTTCCTTCCCCGTGTCTTCTCCCCCAAGAGCCCCCCACCTCCAGGAGGGACCCGGGTTGAACGAGGGAGGGCAGGAAGGAGTGGAAGCCCCCAGTCTCCAAGGATGGGCCCCCTCCCCCAGTTCATAGGGTGCCAGAGGCTGGGAGGGGCCCCACTGTTTTTTATGGTCAGCAGTCAGGCAAAACTTCTGGGTGGATCACGAGGCCCTTGATTTGGGAGGATCCCGGGCCGGCAGGGGTGGTTAACTGAGCCGACCTCCTGCTCCAGCTGGAGACAGGAAGCGGGAGGGCGGCCTGGATCTTGACCCTAGCAAAACCTCCATGGAGGAGATCCCTGCCTGCCCTGCCCTGCCCTGGCTGGCTCCTTTGCCTGGAGGCCTTGGGGAGGTGGGGCAAACTCTGCCGCCTTGCAGGCCCCGAGCTGCCCAACCCTGCTTTGAATCGGGGCCCTGCAGGTGAGGAATTTGCTCAGAGCCACAAAGAGGCAAAAACCACGAAAGGGCCTCCACCAGAACGCAGGAGGGTCTTGGCAAGCTGGAAGAACGGGGGCAGAAGTCAGCAGGCTGGCTTAGGTGAGGCAGCCAGGCCAAATCCTGCCATCGGTCAGTCAGAATAGAGCTGTGAAGGGGCCTTGGAGGTCTTCTAGTCCAGCCCCCTGCTCAAGCAGGAGACCCTATAGACTATTTCAGGTAAGGGACTGTCCGGTTTCTTCTTCTTAAACATTCCCAGTGTTGGAGCACCCACCATTTCCAGTGTCAAGCAGTTCCACTGGTTAATTGTCCTCACAGGAAAGGTCTCCTTAGCTCCAGGTTGCTTCTCTCTCGTTCCATTTCCACCCATTGTTTCTTGTCCTGCTTTCTGGTGCTTTAGAGGACAGCTAGACCCCCCCTCCTCTCGTGGCAGCCCCTCAACTATTGGAACGCGGCTCTCCTGTCGCCCCTTCTTTTCTCTGCTCGTACCCGCGACCTTTGGGTAGTCAAAGTCAGAAGGGGCCCCTGGCAGCAGCGGCAGCTGCACAGAGGATCCGATTTTTACTGGATCACAAGTCGAGTCCAGAGCTCACGGCTGCCTATTGGAGGGGATGGAAGTGGCTTTTGCAGTATGTGGAAGTAAAAATAAGCCACAAAAACCGTAATACAAACCACAGCAACTGTTAAACATTGTTAATAAACCATTAAATTTAAAACCACATTTTGTACCTGTTGGGTAAGTTGAGCCCAGAGGAGACGCCAGAACTGCTGTTGAGTATCTCGGGGCTGTTTCGGCCATGGGGGGGCAGAGTCCAGGGTTCAAAGCACAAGAAGGCTGGTTTGGGTGGGGGTTTTGTGCCAGTTTCCCCACCGGAAGAGCCGTTCAACAGTGGCATGGATTCTCCTTCATTAGACAGGCTTGAGCAAAAGCCGGGTGGCTACTTGCTAGGATGCTGGAGCAGCAGTTTCCTTCACTAGGCAGGGGTTAGGCTAGATGATCTCCAAGGTCCTTCCCAGGCCGATTCTGTGCTCTGCCAAACTTTTGCTAGGAAACTTTGATGCGGAGGGAAGTTGTTAGCGTGAAAGGAGAGGCCTCTGGATCTGGGGTTTGCCTGCTTGGCCTTTTGCCATTCCTGGTTCTGTCCGTTAGCCCAGTAAAAAGGGTGGACTGGCTGGTTTTGGAGTTCCACGTTCACTGCAGCGACTCCATTGTCGTGACTGAAAATACTGTCAGGAAGATAATTGCAGGGGCCTCTGCTTGGTGGGGGGGGGGGGGGGTCTCCCCTTCCTTCCTTCCTTTCCTCGGCCTGATTTGGGAAGTGGAAGAAGGGGCCTGCCAGGGTGGGGTGGGAGTGATGCCCGGGGCTCCCGGAGAAGGGAAGCGGCTGCTAACGGGGAGACTTGCGAGGGGCAGCCCAACCTTTGGGGGGCCAGGAAATCCACCCGAGCCTCTGAGCCTCTGTGTGTGTGAGAGAGAGAAGAGAGAGAGAGAAATATGTCTACGCTGCTTGTCTATTTACATCTGTTAGTTTCTCAAAATGCAGTTCCCAAGGCAACATGAGGGGCTTTTACTTCAAATGTGCAGCCCAGTTTGCCTCCGTGGGCCGGAGTGAACCCCAAGGAAAAGGCCCCCCTGCTAACCGGGGAGGGTCCCTCCATGGCAAAGGGAGAAGGGGAGAAACCCCACAGGCCCCCAGATACAGTCCTGAAAGGAGGAAATGGAGGTTTTTAGAAGCAGAGGAGTAAAAGCCGTGGAAGATTCTGGCCGAGGGGAATGTGACCCACTTAAGAGGCCTGGCTGGATTGCACAGGAGGAGGGTGGTCTCTGGTGCCAGAAGAGACTCAGTGGGGATGAGAGGGAGGGGTCTCCACCCTGGAACGGAAGCCCCTCGAGACTGACCCCCTCCCCACCCCGCCTGTCCGAGGGGACGGGCACCAGGCCTCGGGGAAGAGGCCCAGAAGGTCTGCACCCACCTGCCTCCAACCGCCTTTGCCTCGGACCCAGGTGCCCAGGCAGATCAGAGGTGGGCTTGGCTGGGGAGGGAGCTGGCGGGGCTGCCCGGTGGGCCTGCCTGGTCTTCAAGGTTGGTGCCTCTTTGCTCCTCCGCAGACATTCCTGAGGAAGAAGCCAAATACTGGACCAAGAAGCTGAAGCAGATGAACTCGCTGGAGGAAGAGGAGGAGGAGGAGGAGGAAGAGGAGGTGGGTTCCTTGTGCAGCTCCCCAAAACCCCCCTTGTGCTGGGGACCCTTTCTAGCTGCAGCGGCACGGCCGGATCCCGAACTGGGTAGCCAGACTCGCACGGGGGGACTTGCTCACTGGGCCAGGGCTGGGCCCCCTCTGCTCGGGGGTCAAAGGGCAGCATGGCGGGAGAAGCTCTTCATTCCCATAGCCAGCAGTTCGATCCTGGCCAGCTCCAGGTCGGCGAAGCTTCTCTCCTTCCCAGGACGGTAAAAGGGGGACCCAGGTGGTTGGGGGCAAATATGCTGACGCTACAAACCGCTTAGAGGACTGGGAAGCCCCGGGAGGAGGCCTAGGAGGGCTGTGGCGGTTCCCCTGGGGACCCCAGGAAGGCGCCGAGAGGGTGGCAGCTCAAGTTAAGGGAAGCCAGGAAGTTGGGCGCTTTCCCCTGGGCAGAGGGGAGCCCCCTGTGCCCCTTTCCTGCAGGGCTGGGCAGCAGGACAAGGAAGGCACCCCCCCCCCCCCCGGGGTCTGTGTGGGGGGGGGGGCGGGGGGGGCAGGGGGCAGTGGAAGGGAGGTCTGAAGAATCTGCACGTTCTGCTTTCCCAAAGCGAGGCGCTTCTTGTGAAGAATGTGGGTCGTATTCGGGAGCCTGTAATTACACGGAAACAATCACAGGAGTAATTTGAAAATCGGTTTCGTATAATTGCCGAGCGAAATATATGGAGCTTGTTTGAGCCCCGAGACAGATTGCAGCTCACGGCGCTAATCTGCCTTTGTGCTTGGTTGGTCTTTGTGTAACCAGGGTGCAAACTCCGTGATGAGTGGGGTCCCCCCCTCCCCCCCTTTGCCCTGTTGTGCCCTTCGGTCCTTTGGCTCTGTCTTCAGCAAGGAATCAGCAAGGAATCCTGACCGGAGGCAGCCCCCCCCTCCCCCCCCACGGCTCCGGTGGGATTGGCGGGAGGGTCCCTGCCCCCTTGGGCCGCCTGGGGGGGCTCCAGCAGGGAGTGTGAGACGGGGGGGGGGGCTTGGCAGGCCCTGGGGAAGCTTCCCCCCTTTTCCTGACAGGCACAGGTAGTCCTTGACTTGCAGCCATTCATTTAGCGGCCATTGGAAGTTGCAACAGCCCTGCGGAGAAGGCCGTAAGGCCGTTTCTCACACCCCTTGTGGCCTCCCCCAAATTCACTTAACAACAGAAACGTTGGGCTCCGTTGTGGCCGTAAGTCGAGGGTTACCTGGATTTTAGGCCCCAAAATGCACAAGAATTTTTTTTGAGGGCGTTGGAGGACCTTTTGTGGGGAGACAGAGGGTCTCGGGGTCTCCCATAATACTAGTGATCCGAAACGGGCACCTGCCGTCGGAAGAGCAGCCCAGAACAGTCTGGGGAAGGAGAGAAGGAACAAGGCAGGCCTGGTCTTCAGGGGGCTCAGCTCCCAGCCCAGCCAGGGGGGGGGGGGGCAGGGGGAGGGGCTGCCCCAGGGGTGGGATTCCAATTCTTTTACTACCGGTTCTGTGGGCGTGGCTGGGTGGGCGTGGCAGGGGGAGGGGACTCTAAAACGTCCAGTCGGAGGTGGGATTGGCTGGTTCTCCGAACGACTCAGAATTTCCGCTACTGGTTCTCCAGAACTGGCTAGAACCTGCTGACTCCCACCTCTGGGCTGCCCCCTGAATCTTCAGCCAGGCCCTGGAGGTTGACCCCGGGCTCTGGGGGGGGGGGGGCGGGGGCGGCCGGGGCCCTTCGCCTCCGCGGCCGCTTCCCAGAACTTGGCAGCCCCTCCCTGAGCGCTTTTCTTGCACCTCCCCCCCCCGCCCCCGACAATCTGGGACCTCGGGAGGACAGAAGGCTGAGTCAACCTGGAGCCTGGTAGGATTCGAACTGCCAAACTTCAGGCAGCTGCTGGCAGTCAGCAGAAGGAGCCTGCAGTACTGCACTCTTAACCCACCGCTCCCCCGTGGCTCTTTCTTTCTTTCTTTCTTTCTTTCTTTCTTTCTTTCTTTCTTTCTTTCTTTCTTTCTTTCTTTCTTTCTTTCTTTCTTTCTTTCTTTCTCCACCGCTCCCCCGTGGCTCTTTCTTTCTTTCTTTCTTTCTTTCTTTCTTTCTTTCTCTCTTTCTCTCTCTCTCTCTCTCTCTC